ATCTGGGTCTAAGCTGCTGATCTCCCCTGTCATTGTGGCCTGCTAGGGACAGGTGTCTTACATGCCGACACATGACTTGTCCACTCACTCTGAACACTCTCCTGGTTGCAGTAATGGGGTTATAAATTGTTCATCTAGGCCAGGGTTTCTCAGTCTCAGCCCCACTGATATTTTGGGCCAGTTGTGTGGGGGGCTGTCCTGTGCGTTGTAGGATGTGTAGCAGATCCCTGGCCTCCACCCAGTAGCACCCCTCCCAGTTGTGATAAACAAAAATATCTCAACATTACCAAATGTCCCTGGAGGGCAACATGGCCCCTGGTTGAGAATCACTGCTCTGGTCCATTCTTCCCTTCTTCTTTGGTAATAAGATCTTTTATTTTCAGCTGGCATGTAATCACCAGAATAAAAGATGGAGTAGTTGCAAGATCACCCTTGTAGTGAGGTGCGGCAGTATGTGTGTCCTCACGACCCCTTCTCACTGGTTAGAATACAAGTGTGGTTGGTGACTGGAGCCAAGTCACTCATGGGTCTTGAAGTGGGTGTCAAGTGCTGGATGGCAGAACAGTAAGAGAGAGGCAGGGTCCCGGATGACCATGGAGCTGCCATGGTAGATGGACTCTACTGCTGGAATTAACTCACATGACAGGGAAATGAACTTGTGCCCCTAGTCTCTTGGCCTGTCTCCCCAGAGCCCAGATTTTAGCTCCTGATGAACTCTCCTGACACCATGGTCTCTAGTCAATCACAGTAAATGTAACCCTAAGTAACATATAAAATATAACTCTGCCATGCTTGTGGTTTCAACCACCCACCATCTAGATGCCTGTGACCTTCAGATTTTCCCAAGCCAAGTTCTGGCAACTCACCAGAACCCCACACACAGTTGCTATCGTCTCCTAATCTGCCTCTCTCCTTGTGCTCCCTACCTCAGGAAAGGGCAACTCCACACCCCCAGCATCCTGTAAGTCATCTCTGATTTCCCTTCCTCCCACTCCATCTCTCTCACATCTGCAAGACCTGAAATCCCCCATTCTGCTTCCTAAACAACAAAAAAATCTGCTCCTCTACTCCACCTCCAAAGTCACTGTCCCAGCTCAGGCCCTCACCACTCTACACCCAGCCCATTGCAACCGCTTCCTAACTGGTCTCGCTGCCTCCAGTCTCCGACCCCACAGACTGTCTCCTCTTTACAGGCCTCTCATGAATAACCTTGGTCTCTAGGACAAAGTCCAAGCTTTCTGGGTAAACACTGCAACTCCCTGCCTCTGCCACCTCATCTCCCAGCCCCCCACCCCTCACTCAGCATCTCCTCCTACAGGATATGACACGAAGAATTTGTCACAGCCCCAATAACAAGCTGGGATTCTGTTCTGGCACATGCTGTTCCCTCTGTCCCAAATGCCCTCCCCAAATCCTCTGCTTGGAAAACTCTTACTCCTCCTTCAAGGCCCAGGCAAAGGTGACCTTCTCCACGAGGCCTTGCCTGATTCCCAGCAAAAGCAGCCTGCTGATCCCTGCTCTGTGCTACTGTGGAACCTAACTCAGGGCTCACCCCACTGCATTCTCAAGTTCAGGGGTCTGTCTCCCCAATTGGCAGTGGACAACTGCCTGTTGGGAAGGGATCCCATTTTATTGTACTTGAAACCAACAGCACCTAAGGTAACGTTGGCACAGAGTAGGTGCCCAGCTCACAATATTGTTACCCATTTACTAAGCCTCTACTATGTGCCAGGCCCTGAGCTAGATGCTTTATCTAAATTATCTCACTTTATTCCCAAAATCACCCTGCAGGAGACACGAGATAGAGATTCAGAGAGGCCGAGCAGCTGCTTCTGCTCACACAGCTTGCACACAGCAGCGTCGGGAACTGATCTCCCATCCCCCACACTTGGTTCTCCTTTGGGAACCAGCCTCACCTCACTCCCCAGATGTGGTCTCCAGGGAACCAGCTAACCTGACCTTGGTGTGGAACAGCCCTTTGTCCTGTTATTCAGCTAACAAGTTGGGCTTTCTTAAAAAGGAACTTTTAATAGGAAACCAAAGAAAAGCCCCACAAATTTACTTCCTCCTCTCTAAAACCTGGAGGGACTGGATGGGCTTATAGATCCTTATCTGCGCTGATACCCTGTGATTCCGTGGTTAGTTTCTCAGGTGGAGAGTGGGCTGGTGAATTTTGGTGGTGGTGGCAGTGTCCTAAGGACTGAGCAATGGGAGGAGGAAAGGGTTATAGGGCCAGCCCACCTACACCCCCATCCCTTTATGACTTGACCCTAGAGGTCCAAAGAGAGAGAGGGGACTTGTCCGAGAGCCTCCTCCTGCCTCCTCACCAGGCCCTCAGATGGCCTTGGCCAGACTGAGGATAGAGCTGGAGCTACATAGGCCTACAGCTTGGGTTCCAGACTGTGTTTCCTGCTGGGCCTACAAGGGTCCTTTCCCCTCTCTAGGCCTCAGTTTATGCATCTTCCCTTTTTCGGATCACTCGCTCTGGCCTCCCAGGCTCTGCCCCTCCTCCCCTCCTATTAGTGGGACCCTCTGGAAAGCCCCGCTTGGCACAGCATAGACACAGGAAAGGGAGAGGGAGGCCCATGGGCGAGTTCCTGCAGAGGCCCAAGCTCTCAGCTGTAGCCTTTGGAGCCTGTCATTTCCCTTCCCCCGCCCACCCAGCTGGGCTGCAGATAAATTTCGTCACAGCTCAGTTGTTGTCCTTATAAGGGAAGGGCCTCCAGAGCCTCTCTCTTGGGCCACAGCTGGTTGGTAGAGAGCCAGGCTAGTCTCAGGGTATCCTTCAGGCCCCAGGAAAGGTGGGGCTACCCCAACCCTGCCAGAAGTCACCTGAGCTGGGTGTTCATCTGAAGTCACAGACTCTCCAGAGAAAAAGCAGGAAGCAGTTGATTGTGGCCCCAGGCCAGGACCCTAGGGGGTCAAGTCCCAGGTCCTAATACTAACTTGTGGTCTCCTAGGCAAAGTGTTTAAGCCTCGGTCCTAACCTGTAAATGGAGTGAAAATAAATACATCTTCCTCATGAGGCCATGTGGTGACAATGAGACCAACACAGGCCTGCCAAACAGTAGGTGCTCTGTGAGGCCAGGCCCCTGGGGTTTAACATTTTCTGAGGCAGGCCATGAGCTAAGAATGACCCTGTGAAGAAAAGAGAATTTATACCATTTTACAGACAGGAAAAACTGAGGCAGTTTTCCTATGGTAACTCATTCATGGCTGGGGTTTAAATCTAGATGTGTCTGCCTCCAAATCTAAAGTCATGGTTTTTCTACTTATACCCAGCTATTTCCTCCAGAAATTTTGTTGCTTTAATAAAATTGTGAGAACACGGAGGAATTCCCACCATTACCTCTCTATCCTCTATGTTCCCCCACAGACCCTCCTCATAGCATAGAGAAACCTCCATCCACTTGAGTTTACATGGCCTTTTCTGACAGCCCTGTCTCATGTCTCCTGACATGTCTCATGGAGTGAGGGGAGAGGCGGGAAGACAGGACTTGGAGGAGGGCACAAAACATGGTGGCTCCAGAAAGACACAGGGAGCTTCCAAGTCCCAAGCTCAAGTAGGAGCAAAGAGAGGGGCAATCTGGATGCCCCCTCCCCCACCAGATCCTGCTCTGTCCTGGGTCGTCTGAAGGTGGCCACCATGTAATTTGCAGAACTGTGCACTGTAACTACCCACAGGACTTCAGGCTACCGAGATATTACAGCACATGTTCAAAAGGAAGAACTTCTCCCCTGCAGCAGGCCTCCTGCCCCCAGGACCAGAGGGAAAGCAAGCTCTCACCACATCCTTTCTCGGCCCTGTGGCTGGCCAGTGTCACCTTCCCAGCAGCTACCCCCTTTAAGGCAGTTCTCCAGAGAAGACCTTGTTTCTGGGCCGGGGAGGGGGGGAACATCCCATCAATAGAGAGATTCCTCTTCCTCACCTTGGTTCCTCCTCACAGGTAAGGGGGCCACAAAGTTGATTTGCCTGGGGGCCCCCCAGCTTCTACAGGACACTCACTCAGTATAGCTGTCACATGTCAGGCCAGTGGCAGGGGAATTCAGGAGGGCCATGAGGGTCATAGCCATAGTCGCTAGGCCCCGGATCAGGTGCTTCCTGTTATGTTGGCCACCGGGACTGTCCAGCAGCACTCAGAGGAGGAAGGGAGGCATCCTGTGGGGAGCACAGCGGAGGTCTCCCACATAGGGGAGTGGGGAGCACTGCAATTCCCCTTTCGTGGGTAGGAAACTGAGGCCTCCTGAGGTTTGTTGAACTTGAACTTTGGCAGCTAGACTTGGAACTCTGTCCACTGGCCAAGGGGCTGCCAAAGGACACCCAGTGAAGTCCTGGGGTCCTGTTGAGATGTATTAGGGGTGCCATGGGCATGAGCCAGAGCCCAGGCTCACCCCTAACTGGGATGAGGCTCCAGGGTTAAAATAACAGTTGGAATCACTTTGAACCATCATAGGAAACACCTGTGCAGGCAAGAATTCTCAATGGAGGCTAAATCTAGGGGGATATTTGATGAGATGCAACCTATTTGTACATGGTCTAAAAATGTCTCCCAGATTATTAGTTGGAAAGAGAAAAGTTATAACTCTCCAGTAGAGAAATCGGACACCTTGACCAGGTGATCAAAATTAACATCATTAATGAGGAGCAGATGGATGCATGTCTTCAGATGTGATGCCCTGAGAAGGACCTAGGAGCATCTGTGAAGTTTTTTGGCTGAGAACCCATAACCTCAATCTAATTATGAGGAAACCTCAGACAAACCCAAAGTGAGGAATGTTCTATTAAAATGGGAGGAGGGACCCTGGCCTGGTGGTTCAGTTGGTTGGAGTGTCATCCTGTGCACCAAAAGGTTGAGGGTTCGATCCCTGGTCAGGGAGCCTACATGAGGCAACCGATGTTTTCTCTCTCCCTTCCTCTCTCTCAAATCATAAAAAGCATACCCTCAGGTGAGAAAAAAAAAAAAAGGGAGGTGGGGTGGGGGTAGGAGGACTGTATTACTCAAAAATGTCCATGTTATGAAAGATAAAGGCTGTGGAAACATTTCAGATTAAAGGAGACTAAAGGGACATGTATGCAGTACCCAACCCTACACTAGAGGACAAATATGATAAAGGATATTATTGGGTCAAATGACAAAATTGTAATCTGAACAGTAACTATTATATTGGTGTTAAATTTTCTGAAGTTGGTATCTGTATTGTGGTTACACAAGAGAATATACTTATTTTTAGGAAATACACACAAGTATTCAGGGATAAGGGGCCATGATAATCCTCCAATGATTCAGAAAAGAACTGTGTTCACATGTTAGAGAAAGCACTCAAAAGATAAAACAACGGGTCAATCTGGGTAGAGTGTGTGTCCTCTGCGATTCTTATTCTTGCAACTTTTCTGAAATTTTCAAATAAGCTTTTAAAAATGGAAAAGCACTGTTCCTATGACAGCCCCCAGCCTGTATAAACGTGTGTAGATGACACTGGGGGCCTGGCTGAGTTTAGCAAAGATGGAGCACTGCGGAGGGCAACGCCCCAGCCCAGCCTATGGGAAGGGTGCCCTAGAACGGGGTTTGGAGAACCAGTGAGGCCACTGATCAACTGCCTACCCCCTGCTTCCTTGAGGTCAGCCGGGAGCTGGTCCCACACCAACAAACAGGCTTGTGGCAGACAAGTTCCATAAAAAGGGATTTATTGCCAAATTTCAAAAAAGGCGCTTCATAAGCGGAAGACATGGAATGCCATCCTCCAGGAGGCCGGCAAGGCAGCCCCTGCGTATTTCCCATTCTTCTCCCTCCCCTGGAAGCTGGCTTCCCCGCTGGGGCCCAGGCTGCCCAGGTATGTGGACCCCATAGGAACCAATAGCCTCAGGCCACTGAGGTTGCCCCAGAGCTACTCCCTCAGCCTGGTCACTTATCAGAGGGGAAATGGAGGCTCTAGTCCCTGAAAGCTGGTGACAGCTAAAGCCCAGCAGCCCTCACAGAAGGCTGTTCCCCAAAGCAAGACTTCAGGGGCCACATGACTGTGGGTACTTGATGACATTCTTGCTCTCATACTGGAGATAGAGGGACAGGCAGACTGGGGCGTGGGAGCCAAGGAGTGTGGTTTGGGGAGACCCATTGGGGCTCATGAGACCCATTGCTGCTCACACCCACGCCTGCCCAGTACAGGCCGCAGAGTGGACATCTATCCACCCCTCTGGATCCTTGGCTACTACCTTCAAGAACAAAGTAGAAGTACAGTAAAGAAGGCATCAACCTGCTCTGGCAGGTCTGAGGGCACAACTGGTGGTGGGGGAGGGGTAGCGGGCAGAAAGGCCAGAGCACGCAGCTGTGACCCTCCCTCTCTTTCAGTAAACAAAAGTGCACATGCAGAAACCCCCTGAGAGAGCCTGTCAGGAGCTGCTCCCACTCCCAAGGCCCCAGAGAGAGTGGCTGCAGCCCTCAGGGCCTCTGCACCTATAGGCTTTGCCCTCAGTCCAGCTGCTACAGCAAGATGGAGACGGGATGTGTTCCCAGAGCCAGGGAGGGGCTAGGGAGAGGCCCAGGGTGCAGGCAGGGGCCAGGAGAAAATGCTCCGGCCACTAGGAAGCTCAGGAGGAGCAGTCCATCTAGGGTCTGAGCCAGAGGGGTGAGGGGAAGTGGGGAGAGGGATGTGGTTTCAGGCCCAACATACCCCTCAGCATTAGGAGTGACTGGGATATTGGACCTGTTTGGGTTGTGGAGGAACCACAGAGACCCAGATATAAATCCCATCTGGGAGGCACAGGAGTTGGGGCGGCTTCTCTTCTAAAGGTTGATTTATAATGAATTGCATACAGGATTTTCTGATTTGACGTCCGCTCCTTCTGAAGTTCACCTGTATAGGAACGTGCAAGGCTGGACACAAGCTGGTTCAGGGGCAGGGACGAGACTAGGAGACCTTTCAATTTCCTCCTCCACCCTGGAGTCCTCCTGTCACATCTCGCCAGAGGGGAAGGCCTGCAGAACAGGAAGGCCCAGAGAGAGCCACACAGCAAATGGCTCTCACACAGCTGCCTCCACCCTGCCTTCAGAGGCCATCAGCTGAGGGGTGAACCTACAGCCTAGACCCAAGGCCTCAGCAGCTACTGAGAACAGGTGGGTGGGAGGGTTGGTTACGACCTGAAGCTGCCTTTGCCATGAGGCTGTCTGCCTGGGGTATCTGGACATAGAGGCTGGGGTGGGGTGGGGGGGCTCAGGTGTGCTCTATTTAGAAGTCAGGAATGTAAACTACTGGGAGTGAGAAGCAGAGATGATGCCACCCCCAGAACCCGCAGTGCTGTGCCAAAGCCCTGGGGCAGGTTGGAACAACCATGCAAGCACAGAGGTCCTGAGTGTGTGCTTCCAGCCCAAGCCAGGGCGCAGAGGCCAGGCCAGATAGCCAGGCAGTGGCCCTGGTTGGCACCTGGCACCACTGGCCAAGGCAGGGCAGGAAAGATACCAGGAGCCTCTGCAGGTCCTGGCCAACCCCTGACATGTCCAATGGCCCTTCAACAGCCTGAGCAGAAGCACATTTCTCAGCAGGGCTGGGTTTTGATGAACTGGGCCAGCCAGGAGGGACCGTGTCCTGGCCTGGCAGGCCCTAGGGTGCACTTCTCCTATAGAGGGTCACCAGCTCCTTCCGCTTCTCCCGTAGCCCAGGTGCTTCCTGGCTGAGATCTCCCCGATCTTGGATTTCCTGCAGGACCTGGGTGGCCTGCCTCAGCTGCTCCACAGCCTCGCTGAGTAATGTCTCAGCACTCACGGGGGCCGGCTCACTGGTCAGCACCTTGTTCAACAGTTTCTCCGTCTGTTTTGAGGCCACCTGCACCTCTAACTGGGCCCGGTATAGCCGTTCCACAGGTTTCTGTGAACGCCGGGGGCCTTCCCCAATCAGGTCCCCCATGGAGGAGCAGCGGGGATGGGGCTGAGGTGGCAGGTCCAAGGGGAACAGTGTAGATGTTGTTGCATTCTTTGGGGGAATTCCTGGGGTGCTCACGGCCTGGGATGGTTTGTGAGGCTCAGGACTGTCATCCACGCCATTCACTGAAACCTGTGCTGAGCCTGGGGCAGAGGTCTCAGTGGCCCCAGGACTCTGGACTGGCCCTGAAGCCTCCACCCCGCTCATGGAGGCTCTCAGTTTCTCCGATAAGATCTTGGGTGGGGGTGTAGGGGGCTTCCCACCCTCCTTGGTCGAAGCCTCAGAAGTCTCAGAAGAGGGTACCTGGGGCGGTTCTGCACTTTCAGGGTCAGGGAGTGCCTCAGAGCTGGAGTTCTCCCAGCTCACCTTCAGTTTGTCTGACAGGACCCTGTTGGGGAGCTGCTTAGAGGAACTGTCCTTCCTCACTGGGGTCTCTGAGTCCTCTCGGCTCTCAGGGTGGGCCTCAGGGCTTGCTGAGACAGGGGTTGGGGCTCTTTCTCCCACAGGAGTTTCCACTCTGTCACCAACGATGGCCATTTCGGGTGCTGGGGAAGGCTTGGTAGGAGGCATGAGGGGCCGGAGTGCCTCCCGGGGCTGGGCTTCATTGACATCATTGCTGGGGACAGACACTGGGAGCCCGCTGTCCAGAACATCGAGGTCCAGACGTGAAAGTCCATCAGAAGCTGCGTTGGCTACCTGGTGGGGGGCAGCAAATGGGCATCATCTTGTATCACTGGCCTTTGGGTCTGATGTGCTCACCTACAGTGGTACTAAAGCCCTCCCATCCAGGCTGCCCAGGAC